TCTCCCACTATCACTCTCTCTCTCTGTGTGTGTGCGTGGCGGCCGTGCTCAGTGCAGCAGCGCGGGCATGTAGCCGACGAGCGTCGTGCCACCCGCCGCCGCCACGCTGAGCACGACCGCCTTGCCGTCCACTAAGTGCAGCATGACCTGCAGCGGCGTCACCTCCTTGATGGCGAGGAACCGCGCGAACCGCCGCACCTCCACCTCCACCGTCGCGTGCAGCATACCGGCGTCGTCCTTCTCTCGCCTGCGCCTCTTTCTGTCTCTGTTCTTCACCGCTCCGTCTGCCTTTTCATCACCCCCTTCCTCCGCCTCTTCCTCCTCCTCCTCCTCATCATCATCGTCACGCTCGCACAGCGGCACGGCGTTGTACTTGAGCGCAAAGCTGCCGAGGAAACACTCCGCCTCGATCACGAGGCTGCACGTCGCACCACCACCACCATCAGCAGCGGTGCTGCGGGGCGGCCGCGCGTTTCCCTGGGCGGTGAATGTCATGCGCTCACACGACGTGCCGCGCACCTTGTCGACGAAGAGCGTTAGCTCCGTCAGGCTCGGCAGCGCGAGCTGCAGTACCTCGCTCGTGAGCGGCGGCGCGCTGATGCTCAGCACCTCCGCCTCGCTAAGCACCCGCACCGGCACGTCGTGGCTAATGTCAAGATGCGGCAGGACGCCCTGCAGCGACACACGCAGCGCCGGGCGTCGCGCCGCGTTGCTGGTGAGTTTGACGCCGACGTGCGGGCAGCGCTCGGCCTGGCGCAGGATGTGGACGAGTCGCGCGAGATCGGCGACCTCGCAGTAGATGGCGTTGTCGGCGTTGCGCGATTGGGACTGGAAGTCGCTGAAGACGGACTCCGTGCGGCAGCCGGCCCACACCTGCATGCCGTCGGTCGCCTGCGCCATGGTGAAGAAGCGCACGCGGGCGGGGTGCAGCTTCACGACGCAGCGCTGCTGGATGCTGCGGCACGCCTGGCACACGCCGGCGAGCGTGCGTTGGTCCCGCACCGTCGCCTTGAACTTCATGCCGCAGCTGCTGCTGATGGTGCTGGTGAGTGTGGGAGAGAAGGGGGTGGAGAGGAGCGCAGACACGGCAGCCCCGCGGCACCGACGCCGCTGCTGGTGGTGGTGGTGGGCGG